ATTTGGGAAGTCAAATAACCGTTTCTATCACTTTCAAAGAAATACTCTTTTTTTTTTTTTTTTTGAACAGGAACCAAAGTGAACCCCTATTCCTGTAGAAAGCTGTGAGAACGAACCTTGAAGTTTTCATTCTCAGTGGTATATCCCACCTGTTATATTTCTCTTCCTGTATTTCACTTATGTGATGTATCTGGTGTTTTCTCCTCACTGATCTCTATGAAAACTCCTGCCTGCATAAAATAGATTAAATGAAAACTTCCTTCCCAAGGGCTAACTTCAGTTCTTTCAAAGTCAAAGTGAGGACCATCCATCTTCAGTAGTATAATTAATGATCTCTAAGGATGTTTACATAGTGGAGAAATCTAAGCTAGTTTTAAGCCACCTTCTTCACTTGCATATATCTGATGTATGGCCATGGCATCAGAGATCTGAGCAGAGTTTAATTTATCCTGGCTCTTATTCGACTTTTGGGGCTTGTCCTGCTGAGGTAACCAATTGAAAGCCAACCCAATGGCAGTCTCTGCTGGCTCTGCAGTGTATTCACTACTCTTTTTTTTTTTTAAGTAATGGAAATGATTGCTTAATTCTCTGATTTACCACTTAGGACAGATACTGAATTATCTAGAGAAATACAGGGTAAAATTAAAATCTTTGATCCATATTTTTGCATGTTTTGGACAGATACGATGGATTAATGAAAAAAAATTATGTATCAATCAGATAGATACAGTGTATTTCAAATTATGTGCCTACTTTAAGAGGCAGTGCTTATGTGAGAGTCTTTCCATACAAAAAGAAGAAGAAATATTATGGCCAAATTCTGTATTTGTGTTTTTGTCTCAGGAACTACAAGATCTGACCATGTGTCAATTGTTGTGGGGTTAGCTGGGAAAAAGGGTAAGTGACTGATTAATATATACAGCTATTTATAAAATAAAAGGCTAGGCTGTATTTGCATGTGGATACTTCTCTGATAATTACTCGTTTCAGTGAATTAATAAACATGAAACTTCAAGAGGCAAACTATATTAAACATTAGTCTTTTAGGTTATTCATTTACTCCACTCAGATTTGCAGTTAAAATATTCCTGTCAGAAGGAAAGTACCATTTATCTAATCCATTTTCCTATGAAAACACACTTTGGTGATTTTGGGAGTCTTCAATTACCTAATTGTATAAGAGAATAATTTATATCTCACAGTCAGTAACTTGTGATGCTGATTATTACTCAATTTTCAGTGAAAGATCAGACAATCTACCCGAGGCACTACATACCTTGAAATATCTATATATATTTTACTGAGAGTGTTAAATGAATAGTGACCTGTGAAATAAAGATCAATATGCTGTGACATAGTATTTTCATAATCACAAGGATGAATATATCATTTGCTTCAGCTAGATGAAAATGAAAATTTAACACTCCAAGGCCATTCTCGCTTTCAGATTACTTTTGGCAAGGTCCCAAAAATCCATAACATTTAAATAAATGTAGTGTTTCTTCAGATTACAACAGCTAACTACTTACCAGTTTATTTGTCATTTATTTATCACCCAACATATCTTGCTAATCTCTGCTGAAAGGATGTTCAGAAAGTGATTCTTAATTCAAAGAGTCATTTAGTGGCTTTCAGGGTGTTGAACAAACACCACGTAAAGTTGAAGGCCATTTTTCAAGAGCAGCTTCCAAACAGGTATGCATAATGAATATAAACATTAAAGATGTGATTTATGCCCATAACTCAGCTATTTTGGGTGAAATCCTTGCCTCCTGAAAAGTTATGGCAAAACTCCCATTAACTGCAGTGTAGCCAGATTGTCAGCACTAACTTCTAAAACACTCATGAAGTGATCTTCCATAATTAAATTCTGAGAATACGTTGTAATATTAAAAAAATAGATTTTGCTATTTGATTATTATACATTCTCTCAGGTATTTATATCTATTTTCTTTGAATGAACTAATTTACTTGCAAATAGCACAGGTTATAATAATGATTACTGTCATTAAAATAGACCTTTTGTTAAAAAATGTTTCAGTGGTCGATCTTTAAAAACAGATCCCTTTTATGCACCCTTTGATACATATACTCACTGAGAAGGGTACTTAAATTATAAGGAGTATCAAATGATTTGCAGATTCAAAACAAATAAGAGGCGGTACTTAATCACAGAGCAGGTGTTCAAGCGATGGGCTTCACGTCAGTTCAAAAAGGTGTTAGACAAATCCATGCAATAAGTATACATCACGAATAATTACAGGCAGATATACATGTGTGGTTTAGGAAACTCCTGAATGTTCAGAGAATACACCAAGGGAGGGTAAACCAAGGAAGTATCACTGCCCATATCCCTGGGTAAGTTATGTCAATAGCTTATCAACCTCATTTTAAAAAAAACTACCTTATTTAAGTTATACATTTTTCTATCTTTGGCTTCAACTTGGGCCTATCATCATGTCTTTCCTTGTAAGCTTAAAAAGATATTTACTATCCAAAATATTTTCCCTAGAGAGATACTTGTGGTCTTGACTTGGATGAGTACTCCAATCTTTTTTTGAAGAGAGTATTTTAATGTTTTGTTATAAGGCATGTTTTCCAGAACTCGTATAATTACTGTAGTTATTTTCTCAATTCTTTTAAGTTCCTCAGTATCCTTTTTGAAGTGCGGGCACCAGAAAGTAGACACAGTATTTCCTTTATAATTTTCCTAATGCTGTGTTCTGAAATAAAATCATTCTTGTATTTGTTTTAGATATTATCCTGCTTATACTTTCAAGGATCATATTCACCCTCTTATGTAAAACATTGCAGTAGGAGATAATCTTCATTTGATTACTTTCTATGACTCCTCAGTCCTCTTCAGTCACTGCTTTCCAGGACAGCATCTCCATTTTGTAATTATGACCTGCATTCATCCTTCACTGGTGAATAAGTTTGCATTTCTTTATATTATAACATGTGGTATTTAAAAGGATCCCTTTCACCAAGAAACTGAGTGACTGGTCCATCTCCAGCTATCATGTTGTCCCTAAAGACTTGATTAAGGGTGATCAGCATCTCAAACTTGTCCTTACCTGGAAAGCAATAGAATATCATCAATTTTTAGTCTTAATCTACAGCCAACAATGAGCTGAAGCAATTAATTTCATTTAAATATTTCCATAATGACAGGGTGTCACTTCATATGTTTATGGCCATGTGAGGTTCATCATTGTACCATGAGGCTTGGACTTTGTCTGACCAAGTCTACTTCACAGGAGGTTAGTAGTTCATTGGTAGCAAATTTAAGCACTGGTACAGATTGTTTATTGCCAAGAGTTGAGAGGAATCTTACCAAATGACATTAAAAGTTCCAAAGAGGTGAGAAGTTGGTAGTCTGAGGGATTCTTGAAAAAGATTAAGATTAATAATTGTTATTGAAGGGGAGAATAATAACATTTTCATCTCAATAGTACTTCTTCAGGGAAAGGGGAAGCATGTATTCCAAATCGAGACTCTCTTCTGTGAAGACAAGCTTAAAGATGTAGTATTTTTTTCAGAAGAAATCTTTCTTTAGTCCCATGATTTGATAGTCATTGATGTCTTGAAAGCTGGATAATCTAGAGAAGCTGCTTGCAACTGAGGTAAGGATAGGCAGATATAAGCAGTTTTCTGTTTTTGCTTATCAGTCTTTGTAACCTTTGTAACTGTGTTTCTGTATTTGAAGGTGTTGTAAATAAATTTTCTTTTACCTTTACTAGGCTTTTCTCAAGAGTGTGTTTAGAATAAGTGTCAAACAGGACATCCTATCCCTTTGTGTAAGGCTTTCTTTAAACTGAATTACTGTACTACTTCTTCAGGGTATAGAATCTCTTTGAAATTTCCAGGGCATTGAAAGGATAATAAAATGTGTCTAAACAGCATGGATTATTTTGGAATTTTCAATTTTGTCTATGTAGAAGATGCATCCCATTTTGCATGCTGCAAGATGGTAGGAATACTACCACTGAACACTAATGGTGATGGCAAAGTTTGCAGCACTATAATTCTGGCAATCTTTGTGTCATCCGTAAATTTTATCAGTAATAATAATAAATTTTATTCCAGATTATGAGTAAAATTATGGACTGCACATTGGTATAAAACAATCAAATATTTTCCTAGATGACGACCAAATGTTGAGATCCAATAATTAATCTGTTTTTTAATTATTTAATTAACTTTTGTGTAAGTGTCGTATTTCTAGTAAGAAAGCTAGCCAGAACTAAGACAAATACTTTACAGAATACTATTTCATCAGCCTAATTGATAATTGCATCAAGTAATTTTGCAAAGTATGTTTGATAAAACTTAGCCCTGTGTGTTAATGGCATTAATTGAATTGCCACCTTCTATCAGCTTATATCATGGAAATAAATATTAATAACTTTTACTTTTCAGAGACTTTTTTTGACTATTGGAATATCCGCTTTAGCATATACTAACAGGCAAATTAGCTTTTTTTTCTTACAGCCACAAAGAGTAGGTCTTCTGTTAACATAATCTTTGTTTCAAAATAAGCTGCTTGCAGCATGTGGTAGGTCATGGGGCAATTTGGGAAATTTTAAATGTAAGTTTGCGGTATCTTAAGACCTAGAGGTCTTCGGTTGCATGTTGTGTTATGGAACTTTGAGGATCTCTGCCACAGGTGACTGAATTTGGGGAATTAGGGATGAGGTGTTAGAACTAAATTTGTGCTAAAAGTGCTAAATTTGCACAAGTCATTGTAATCAACTTTTACGTCCTGTTGAATACACATAATGATACTTGTTCCTTTTAAAAAGCTTTGAGATCCTCACATGAGATGTACTACACAAAAAGCATCTTTTAGTTCATTAATTCTTTGTATAGAATTCAAGTGGTAGGACTCTTGAGCTCTTCAAAAACAATATTGGTGTTGAATATCTACAGCTAAGTGTAATGTCTGTTTTACATAATTCCTTTTGGGTTTTAAATACCAAATCTCTTTTCTCTTACAGAGAAGTCAATCAGGATTCTGATGGCTACATCAGCTTCAAAGAGTTTGAATCTGCAATGAACAATGGACAAGATGAAGTATCACCAGTGTACTTTGCCTAAAGAATATTCTCTGGTGAAAAGACAAAGTGAAAACTTCAGATCTCAAGATATTTAAAAATCAATGAAACTTCATTTGTTTCAGCCAGCATTTTAAGAACTTTGACTGTAAGTGTAGCTCTGAAGAACAGCCTTTGAAGCTTTACTGTTGACAAGTTGGGTGTATTAATTTACATGTGTATGTGTGTGTAGAATACTTAAAATATTTGAAATCTCAGTTGATTCCCAGTCACCCTAGTTAGGAACTGCAATGCTGTACTTTTTCTTTTTGATTTAATATATGAAAAAGGACCAACTCTAATTTCCAGTACTTGTGAAATTTATTTGTTCACTTTTTCAACAGCCCTTTGATGACAGACCAAAATATCTCACACGTATAGAAACTGATTAAATTTATGGCAGATAATGCCTGTTTTTTTAAAATCAGTAGTATCTTTGTCTTTCCTTTATTGCTTCGCTGTCATATATTGTTCTTTTTTATATATTGCACATTATTATTAATTTAACATTTATTGGTTAATTAGCTACATGATTTAATTCTGAACAATTATCAATAACTGTGTATGTAAGGCAGTAAGGTAAGCATAAACACTTAGCTTTTTTTTTTGAAACAATTTTTTAAATGGAGATAAGAATAAATCTTTAAAGTGTATATCATGGACCTCAGTCTCACAGGCTGAAAATTCTGTGTATTCAAACCTTCAGCTGACTTTTAGGGAAGAGAGAGAGATATATATATATACTTTAGCAAGATCAGAGAATTTCCCAAGCGTTGAGGGGAAGTATAAGCTAGAATCTGTCATTGTCTACAAAGCTATCTTCCCTTCTCTCTCTCTCTCTTATCCAGTAACTGGGAGATGTTCTTGCCTGCTGTAACTTTATATACATCCATCCAAGCTGTGCTATAGTGAGATAAATCTTCCTGATTCAATATATTTTATCTGTGATCACTTACTTCCTAGTGCCTTTGCCTGTTCATATTAATAGTAACAGATAATAGAGATTTCATTATGGGCACTGTCTCTGATCATATGGTCCACTCCATTGCTTCATTTCTGTTTACCTGCCAGTTTTTAAGTTGCTTGGACTAGAGATTTCTTTTGAAACTGTCCAGAAGCAATCTCCTCCTCAAGTGAGTGTACAGACTGTAGCATGTACTTAATACTGCTGTAAATCAATAACAAATAACAAATAATAATGATCAGTCAGAGAAAGAGAGTAACAATTCTACTCTTAAGTCAAGAGAGTCTCCAATTTCTTTCAAATTTTAGTGAGGCATTCCAGAGTACAATTTACAGGTGAAGTATTTATAAAATGATGTCTATGTTTTCTGTTCCCATTACGTGTATGTATCTCACTAGGTACAGGCAAAGTGAAATCTTTCTTTTTTTTTAATTCCAAGGCAGATCATATATATACAATGGGAGAAAGTTGGAGACACTGAATATATCAGCAGATATATCTGATTCTATATATGAGAACCAGATAACCATTAGATGAAATGAGCTGTAACTCAAATAGCACCCTTTATGTGCTAATCAGTGGGAGCAAACTGGTGTTACCTTTGAAAGGTGATGGCGAGACATGCTAATAGATTGGAGGTTTTGCATTAGAAATGCCATTTCCCAATAGATGAACGTTTTCATAAGAGAATCATCACCATGGATGTTAATTAGCAATATCATCACAGCCTCTTCTGAGATGCAGGAGATTGAATTATTATCCCACAGGGATAGTCACTACAGGTCTAGACACATTCACAAAAAAATGTATGATGGTTTGCTGTGATATTACTTACATTGCATTTTTTTGGTTGGTAGACTTCGGTTTTTATGGTGCCCAGACCCTGTGCCCTTCCTAAACACTGAATCCATGCTGTATTATTTTATTATGATATATTATTTTATTATTATTTATTATTTTACTTATTTAAAAAATAATTATTTAGTTCATAAGGAGTAGTTAAAAAGTCTATGGCCTCTTGTTTATATTTCTAGTCCAGCTGTGGTTTGTTGTCAAAATATCTGACAAAATATCTGCTATATTGTACAAATGTAGCCTTCTGTTAAATATTAGACAGAAAGGTCTTTGTATGCTTTTCATTTTAAGAAATATATATGTCTTCTATATATGGCAAGGAACTCTAGAGAGGAAAATGCTATCTATCTATCTCCTTTATTTCCATATGCTCTTAATCCTCATTTTCTCAAGGACTTGAAAAGTTGCTATGAACTTGAATTACTGAGAACATAAACTCCAGGAGACATCAATAAAATTATTTTACCAGGTTGGAAATTTTTTTAGAAAAGAACAGAACTGTATTAAAGGATCATAAGTGTTCCTGTTTCTCCTCCCGTGGGGACTGACAGAAAGAAACTGCAGATGACCACAGCTGAGTGGAACTGAGTAGGCCCTGGTGACACTCTATCTACTGAATAGTTGAATAAAAATTAATTACTAGCTAGTGCTTATCTGGATTTTGGCTAGCAAACTGCAGAAACACTTCAGCTATCAAACTGATAAAACTAGGAATGACATTTATTAGGTGGGCTAGGTGATGGCCTATTCTCAGTAATGGTTTGGGAAACAATAAAAGCAATAGCTACGCAGCTATTGGATGAAAGAAGCCACATGCTTTTCATTTTGTGTGTTTTCTATTGCTGATGTAACAGCTCAACATGACAGGTCAACATGAAAGGATCGGCAGTTAAGAGCTATGATCAGCCTTAGTTTACAAGCTGCAACTCTGACAACTCATGTCAAATCCAGAGTGACATAAAATGGGACGATACGCTCATTAGCAGGTTACGTTCTTATCTGCGACATTTCCAAGGGTGTAAGGACATCAATGATATGAGCCCAGGTAAGAAGTTTTCTTTTGTTTGATGGCTACCATCTTTGGCAGAACCCTGGGAACTGAACTGTGGCTGAACCTCCAGCACTGAAAAAATGAGTTGCAGTAGCTGGAGAGCCATAACTCTTTAGCAAATAATTATTCATGTACCCTATGGAACAGCACAGAGGAGGATCTTCAGGATTTACTTTACTTACCAGAATGTTATACTATCTTTTCCAAGTTTATGAGCACATTTACTTTCCTATTATGTAGACTTTTTGTTGTTTTCTGACACCTCGGTTACTTAACAAGCAAGATTTCCTTGTTTAAAATATCCATAAAAAGAATATTTACTTTTTTCAAATTTTCAAGTGAGTCATCATCTGTTTAAATTATTTGCAAATGGATCCTTTATACACTTAGCCTATTGCTGCCATTTTATCGCAAATGGATAGATTATAAAACCATAAATGCTATCAAAGTGTATTTGTTTTGTTCCCCTGGGGCTTCTGTAATTCACTATAGCTGTTGAAATCTAGTAATCTGTAATTTCCTTTTAAAGGATTTGGATGATCTAGACTTTTTACCAAGGCCTGGAGTGACAGGACAAGGGGTAATGGTTTTAAACTGAAAGAGGGTAGATTTAGACATCAGGAAGAAATTTTTTACAATGAGGGTGGTGAGGCACTGGCACAGGTTTCCCAGAGAGCTTGTGGATGCCCCCTCCCTGGAAGTGTTCAAGGTCAGGTTGGACAGGACTTTGAGCAACCTGATCTAGTGAAAGATGTCCCTGCCCGTGGCAGGGGCGTTGGACTAGAGGATCTTTAAAGGTCCCTTCCAACCCAAACCATTCTATGATTCTATTATTTTATTGATTGAATGAGCAGTTGTTAAACTATAGTCTTTGGGCAATGTGACATTCCTGGTAGCTTGCACAGTGTAGTATACTAAAATCTGGGAGACCTTTGACTGAAAAAGAATCCAGACGATTAAGCCCAATATCAAGATTTTCCTCATTGAAATATTTTGTTTACTTTTTTTCTGGTGTATCAAATAATGAGTATTTCATCCATTTATTCAGTAATCAGAAGAATAAAAAAAGAAATATGTGCAGTACATCATAGAATATGCAATATGTCCCTGTAAGGTTCCCAAAATAACACTTAGTGTAAAGATAGTACATTAGGTTTGTGGCAGTGTTACTGTGTCTTCTATCTTTAATCAGCTGGGTGGGTGGTGGCTGACAAGTCAAACCCAGTAACTAGCTGACACACAAAATGTCACAGTTCAATGAAAAGCTTTGGCATGACTCTCATTTACTATAACATATCAGCTTTACACTTTTCTGGCAATGAAATGCAGTCTTAAAATTAGGATGAATTACAGCTGCATCCCTGCTTTGATTCCTTAACACTGTTCTTTGGCAAGGCTGCCCAAATGTAAAAAAGAATCAGACCTGTTTGTATAACTTTTTGTGTAGAGATTGCCAATAACGATTTGAGAAAATACATTGCACCATTGTCCATAAGAGACAGGAATAACAAGTGGGTTTTTTAATCATAGTTATTTAAGGATCCATATCTGAGCCTCTTTGCAAAAAATAAAAAAAACAGTGATGAATTTTAAAAGAACGCAGAGGTTGCACATACATTAACATTTTGGCTCAAAACAGTGGGGTTCTGAAATGAATCCCCTGATGTTCCCCACTTTCTGTTTATTGGCTCAGTTTGCAGAGTCATTATGGTGCATGCAAATCAAGATTCATTTTGGAGGAAAATAAACTAGAAGACCACTCTGGGCACACACGAAACATGCTTCAATACCTAATGGAGACATGAGTCTGAATGATGACTGGCTTGCACCACCATGAAGTTCTCCAAGTCCTCCAGCATATACCAAGCAGTCCAGCTGAACATCAGCAAAACAGTCACAGCAGCAAGGCATCCCATTCTCCGTGTCCGGTTTTTCATGTGAAAGAAAAGCCAGTGTGACTGCCATCACAGTGTCCTCTTGGATTTGTTTCCATGACTCCAGGCCTTCATTAGTCCCTTCAATGGGACCTTTGGATGTTGATCAAACTTAGAGTGGGGGCAGAGTTTGGCAACCAGCATCATGGTGTCAGCCAAAAATGAGCAGGAACAGAAATAAAGCTGCTTTTCAATTTGAGACCATAAGGAGACAGGGCAGTGACATGCTAATCTTCTGCATGAGACAGACAAAAGGATGGCATGGAGTTTCCTAGGGTGGAGGATCCTGTGGTCCTCCACAGAAAGCCACAGTTCTGTGGCATAGCTTCTATTCAGACAACTTTGAACAAAATGTGTGGTGAGAACATTTCATCTAGTGACTCAGCACCAATGGCATCTTAATACTAAACTACTGCTTTTGCACTGAAGTATTTGCTAACGTAGAGTTAGCCAGGGAGTCTGGTGTTTAAAATTGCTTTGATACCTATGCTATGGTGAAAATCTTAGCCTTAGTCAGATGAAGTCTCTCACTGACACCACGGAGGAGTATTTCTATGTACACGCCAGTCAAGTTTGCATTTAGATGTATAATTCTGTTAGATTCGTTCTAATTTAAATAAATCTAATATGTAAGGTGAAAATCTTGTTTCTTTTACCATTGACTTTACTAAATATGAGAAAATGTTGAAGAATGTTGAAGAACGT